ATATATATATATATATATATATATATACAATCTGCAAAATTGAATGTAGTTAAAGGATAAACAATTATCTGTTTCTAAAATATGACAATATAGGTTATGTTATAACATCAATTACTTCATAATAAATAATCTAATGTTATAGAAAATGACGGGTTGTTGTATGCAAAAACAGGAAACCTATTTTTAACACCAAACTATGATTATGCATTCATTGATTAAATAATATTTTATTTAAATAATAAGTGCATAGCTTTGGTTTTGTTCTGAGCGTACATATATTTATGTTTACATATGTTTATTCATACATATATACATGTGTTATGTATATATTAGGTGGTAAACTTAGTTCCTGCGGTTTTTTGTTTAAAAAACTTATTTATTTCGACATCAAAAGCAAAAAATACATTAATCGAAGTATTTTCTCTCGCTAGCTATACATTTTTCCCATCTTTCGGGTAACGCGTAGATTCCGCGACGATAGAACGATTGGTCTTTTGATGCAATCCATTCGTCGATCCATTTTCGCACATCCTCGTAATTTCTGAAGTGTGTATCCACCAAGCCGTGCTGCATCGACTGGAACAAGTAATAGTCCGAAGGAGCTAAGTCTGGTGAATACGCTGGGTGCGGGAGAACTTCCCACTCGAGCTGCATCAGTGTTTCTTTGACGGCTTTGGCAACGTGTGGTCGAGCGTTGTCGTGCAAAAGCATGACTTTACGTCGATTGCTGGCTACTGCTGGCCTTTTTTCCAACAATGCTTCATTCAGACGGTTTAATTGTGATTGATATCGATCCCCCGTGATACTTTCGTTCGGTCTGAGTAGCTCATAATAAACGACGCCGTGCATATCCCACCAAATGCAAAGCATTGCTTTGTGGCCATGAATATTTCTCTTTGGTGTGGATGTCGATGGTTGGCCAGGGTCTACCCATGATTTTCTTCGTTTAGGATTATCGAAGTATATCCATTTTTCATCGCCAGTCACTATGCGCCACAAAAAACTCTTCTTTTTCTGCCTGGCGAGCAGAGAAATAGAGATGTTTAAGCGATTCGCAATGGCATTTGTGGTTAATTCGTGTGGTACCTATTTGCCCTCCTTTTGAATTTTTCCCATTGCATGTAGACGTTTGAAAACAGCCATTGGAGTAACATTTAATGCTGCAGACAATTCTTGGAGCGTTTGAGTAAAGTTTTCGTCCAATAATGCCTGCAAATCGGTGTCTTCAAACTTTTTCGGTTGTCCTGAGCGTTCTTTATCATTGACATCAAAATCACCACTCTTAAATCGCTGAAACCATACTTGGCATGTTCTTTCCGATGGAGCATAATTGCCATAAGCTTCGAAAAACAATTTATGAGCTGCAGCTGCAGTTTT